GACTTCTCCCAGTCGGCCAGTAAGTTTTTATATTATTATTAAAACATAACTGAAAAGACCTATGTGCCCTTACTTAAGTTAAGAGCACATGTTTCAACACAACATTACAGATCAGCAACATCGATCAAGGTATAAAGACAGAAATACCCCTACGCTAACAGAGGGAAAGGAGACAATGTAGGAAACAGAACAAAGAAGGGAGACTGACCATCAAGGATGGACATAGGCATTCCGTTAATAAGAAAGCAAGATGTAAGCACATCATCACTCCAGAAACATTTGGGTACATTCATATGGTGCAACAGGGACCGAGCGATTTCTAAGAGATTACAGTTTTTCCGTTCAGCTACCCCATTTTGTTGGGGGGGTATAAGAGCAAGAGGTTTGATGAATAATACCATGTAGTTGTAAATATTGTTGAAAGGGTCTATAAAAATATTCTCGACCATTATCTGAACATAGGATCTTAATATGAATACCAAATTCAATGCAGATTTCAGCATGGAACTTTTGGAAAATGGAAAATAATTCACTTCTTTCCTTCATAAGATAAAGCCATGTCATCCTTGAATAATCATCAACAAAAATAACAAAGTACTTGTATCCATTGTGTGACTATTTTATATGGACCCCAAATATCTGAATGGACCAAAGAAAAAGGACTCGACATATGATAATCGACTCTAGGACTAAAGGAAACCCGATGATGTTTCCCATACTAACACGACTCACAATCCAAAGTAAAAAGATGACTCAATGCTGGAACAAGTTGCTTAAGTGCTTTAAGAGACAGATGACCAAGTCTGCAATGCCACTGGAGAGCTGTTGAAGAACCACAACCACCACCACCATCAAGGTAATACAATCCACCAACTTCATGCCCTCCACCAATCTTCATCCCCGTCTTGAGATCCTAGAATACACAAGATGAAGGGTAAAAGATGATAGAGCAATTAAGAGACTTGGTTAATTTACTAACAGACATAAGATTAAAAGAAAATTTGAGTATATACAGAACTGAAGACAAAGATAATAAACCAGTTTTAACATCACCAATACCACTTATGGAAGAAGTGGAACCATTAGAAAGGGTGATAGTGTGGGTTGTAGAGGATGAAGAAAGTGAAGAGAACACACTTGAAGTCCCAGTCATGTGATCGGAAGCTCCAGAATCAATGATCTAGTGGGAGGGTTTGGATGACAGACAAGCCATACTAAGTGGGCAATCATAGTTGCATTCGGCTGAGAAGTAGCCTGGATCAACCACTCATATTCAGTACATGAAATACTCATCATCTCTTGTCCGGAGGCATCTATAGGTGGAGGTGTTTGACCGGTCTGCTGACTCCCTTGTTCCATATCACCACTTGCCACTACATGATTTGCCCAGGATGAAGGTGGGTCACGTAGATCATAGCAAAAATTAATAGTGTGTCCATCCATACCACAATGCATACACTTTCTCGGACCATGATTATGTCCTCTACCACGGGCTCCCCCTGAATCTCGACCTCCAACACGCCCACCACCATGACTGTACATGTGTCCACCTCTACCATCACGGCCTGGCTGGCCTTGATGAGCTACTCTACCACCACAGCCGCCCCCTCTAGCCACCGCAAGGGCAATCCTATCGGATATGGTGGGGTTCTCTGGAGGGCCAACTGAAATCCCCCGGAGACGAGCAAACACCTCCTCAAGAGAGGGGAGGGCAGACCCACCTAGTATCTGAGCCCTCACCGGTTCAAATTCAGGCTTCAGTCCCACTATAAATCTGGTTGCATCAACTTGCTCTCTCTGTTGTTGCTGAATTTTAACATCAGATGTAAGGGGGTGATACACACTCAACTCTTTCCTCAAATTTCTTAGACTAGCATAATACTCTTCAAGACTCTGGTTACCCTGCTACAGACTAAAATACTCTTGATAGAGCTGATATACTCTGGTGGTGTTATCCTGTCCTGAGTAAAGCTTCCTTGCATGATCCCAAATTTCCTTGGTTGTGTCCATATTGTTCCATAGCCAAGTCATAATATGTGCATCTTCTTGCTCCCAATCACCATACTCTTGGGAATCAACTGGGGGTTTTTCTTCTCTTATATGCTTTACTTTCTTCTTGGCTCTGAGAAACACTTCAACAGATTTGGCCCAAGGTACGTAATTTTCTCCATTCAATTTAATTGAGGTTATCTGTACATTCAAGTAGTCTTGAGGAGGGATCATAACCGACTTTGTTCATTATCTCCCATGGCTGTAAAAAAAAAAAAAAACTTTCCCCCTCTGTTTCAACCTGCCTTACCCAGCGATCACTACATTGCACTCCAACAGCACTGTACTTCACTCCTATAGTTTATCACTCACCACCATACGATTGACCATTCCATACACATCACACACAAGAGTGCCACTTCAGCATTCCATACAACTGATACTAAGCCTTCGGTCCACTGATCTGAACCACACATCCAAACCTACCACAAAACCTATTGTTGCAGCCCTCTTCATTCCATCGATTAGAGGGTTCTCTACCAACCACCTGAAACCAAAACTTCACACCCAATCGAATACATTAAAACCTCCAGAAGGAAGATACGACAACTACTTTTCAACCTTTTTGCGAAACTCCAAAAAAAACAGAAGAAAACTGAGAGATTACAAGCTGGAGTGCATTGAAAGTCGTTTCTGGACTGACTTATCCTCACTCTGATACCATGTTACAATTTAGATTTGTCAGTTTCAGATCTGAACTTAAGGTAAAAGAGAAGAAATAAGAGAGAGAGAGAGGGAGAGAAGAAGAAAAGGAGAAATAGAAGAAGAAACCTGTTTGAACCAGAGAGAAGAAAAAAAAAATCTCTCTTAGGTCGACCAGCATATATATATATATACATATATATAGTTTACTAAAATAATAACAAAGGTCTTTTATGCCCCTATTTAAGTCGGGACACATCAGCACTAACTTAAAGACACATCACCATACTAATAAAACTCAAATGACCATTCTACCCTTATTTAGTCGACACTAACAGAATTAATAAAACTACTCTCATTTATCAAAAACAAAACGGTTGGTTGGGAAACTTCTTCATCTTTGCTTAACATGACCAAACATTTCTTATGTTGCCAGTGTTGTTAGCTAGTACATGCATTCTCCTAAAACCACCCACCTTCTTGTAGTGGAAATGATACTTGCCTATTTGAAGAGATGCCTAGGGAGAGGGAAACTCTTCAAGAATAATGGTCACATGAAAATAGAAGCATACACAAATGCTGATTGGGCTAGTTGTGTTGATGACAAGAGATCTACCCCCGGGTATTGTGCTTTTATAGGGGGAAATCTTGTTTCTTGGAAGAGTAAGAAACAAAATATTGTTGCTCGCTCTAGTGTTGAAGCTGAATACAGATCTATGGCTAATGGAGTGGCAGGAGTGTTATGGTTGCAATCTTTACTTGATGAGCTGGGTGTTCAATATGAGAAGCCTCTGATGTTGTATTGTGATAATCAGGCTGCAATTAACATTGCTCAGAATCCAAATAGCATGACATAACTAAACACATTGAAGTGGATCAGCACTTCATCCGAGAGAGAGTTGCATCTCAAGAAGTGTCCCTATATTGTCTCAGATATGTAGGTAGCTGATCTCTTCACTAAGGTGGTTTACAAAGACCAAGTTGGAGACAGATTTACGCAAGTTAGGAATGACTAATATCTACTCCCAACTTAAGGGGGAGTGTGGAGATAGTTATTAGTTGCTAGTGTGTGGTCCCAATCCCACTAATATCTTTATATTTATTTCATGGTAGTTATGGTAGTTAGGCCAAATATATTTGTTTCATATTTATTCCTACTCCACTAATGTTAATTTACAAACATATAAATACTAATCTGATGGGGCAGCAAGATCATCTAACCGCACCCACCCTTTTCTCCTTTCTTCTTCTCCTTCTCTTCTCTCTTTTCTTCTTCTGTTCATGACCTTCTTTTCTCCTCTTCTTTTACTGAAGTTATATCAGAAAACAAACAGGTTCTGGTTTCTTTTATCCAAGTCTTACTTGCAACTGTTAAACCATACCAGAATAATGCTGAAAGGATTTTAAATAAAAAAAAAAAAGAATAAGAAAAACTCACGTAATGGCACATATTGTGGCAGGCTGATGTATCTGGGGCAGGAACTTCTAGGAGTAAGTAGTTCAAATTGGGTGCTAGAGCCAATTATGCAATCACGAGGCTGCAAAACATGAAAATTTTCCACAAGAGCTTATTTCAAATTCTCTTAAGAAAGGCATTTTTTCAGTTAACTTTATTGGTAAAAGACAATGGCTAACATAAATGAGAATGTAAAAACTACCGGTTGAAAGGTTCCACTTAGAATAACCAGATTGAATTATCCTCACTATCCAATATATTTCTTTACATATGATATTAATAACAATATCAGTATAGCACAAAGGTATGGGCAGGTTCATTCAATTAACTGAATTTTGGCCTTGCTTGGTTCTGCACTATAGCATCAGAAAACATGATTCTGATTTTCCACTTGCTCTGCCCATTGTATATTATGGAACAAGAATAGTAGATTTTTCTCTAGTTTTAAATGTGGGATAGAAGTAAAGGATTTTTAATGGTGAAGAAGTTGGACTAACCTTGAAATCTTTATAGAAGCATAAACGAAGTTCCTCCAAAGCACCATGTGAGCACACTAACAATGGAGATGCCCCCACAGCATTCTCAATGGCGGAAACAATTCCTCCCAAAGGATACTTCTCAGAATTAGAGGGTGCAAATCCAGCCTCGTTCAGAATTTTCTGGTATCATACACTTACATGTCAGAGAAGATTCTTTTCTGGAAAGTGTCATGCTAAATCAAAAACATGATTTGACTTTGACAAACAATCCAACAGAAAAAGGTCAAATCACATTCAACTCATTGTAAAGAAAATTAGACAATGGGTATATAATAATACAGTAGATGGTGGTTAGTGTATCATTATATAAAATTGTTCCTTGTGTTTTTGTGATCATATCATCATACCTTTAGTCCCTTCTTGGTGAGATGCTTGTAATTGTACACAATTATTGTTCTAATATAAATGGCCTTATCGGGTGCAGGTCAATGTAACTAACACCCTGATGCAGGAACAAAGAAGCTAAAACTGGAATTTTTTGAATTTTTTATTATTTTTGTATTTTTAAACAGAAGGGACATTTTGGTTATTTTATATTATGTCTATGGGGACTAGCTAGTAGTTTGATTTTTCCTAATTCTAGCAGGATTTTTTTATGGAAACTAATTCTAGTAGGATCAACTATCCCTATACATGATATATGTGTGTGTGTGTATCTAGAGTAAAAAATGTGGAGATTTATATTGGAATAATATTTCAATTATTTTGGTGCATATTATGCTTGTGATGAGTGATACCCACACCTTAGAGTTATTATAGACATGTTGTCAAGTGATACTGGATTTTTTGCTTCTTTTTCTCTTTATTTTCTCTTTACTTTCTCTTTAATCTTTTGAGAAGCCATTACAGACATCAGCAGTGATATGTTCTATGTCAACAATGGTTCATGCAACATTCTCAAAGGACTGGAAGTGATCTATGTCAAAACCTGAAAACTTTCCATTCTAGCCATGTATTATGTCCTTTGTGCCAAACCATCTCCAACTGGTCCCCTATTTCAGTGCCCCCCTATAGGTACTCACAACTATTCATCCCTCAAAAATCACCCCAAAATTCCACCTAGCCCTAGATTCCATAGATTTCAAGTTTTCTCCCAACCCTGGAATTGTTGTCCTTAAGTGCAAAAGTGGTTGGAGTGCAAAAGGCAAAGGAAATAGGGATTGATAAACTGGTCGTTGAAGGAAATTCAAAAGTGGTTATTAGCTGGTTATTGAAGAATGTTGCATCAAATTGGATCTACAAAAATGAAATAAGATGGTTTCACTGGAATTCTAAAGACATGCATTTGGACATACAATGGATACAAAGATCAACCAACAGCTTGGCTGATGGCTTAGCAAAACAAGGGGTTACTAGATAACAAATGTTTTAGGCTCAGCTGTAATAATATGCTCAAGTTTTCTAACTGAATTGTCAACTCACAACCTCTTGTTGTACAGTTGTACTTGTACTAGCATGTATCTTAAGTAATGAAATCTGTTTTTTGTTGCTGATAAAAAAAAGACCCCTTCTAAACCTAAGATCCTAATCCAACCCAGACGAGGAGGCAGACCAAAATTTAGAGATAGGTTCCATATTATAGTTTGATAATGAATAAAACAGGAGGAATTGTTCTTTGAGAGTGGCATTACCCAATGTTCAGGAATGGTTCTTCCTGAAAAAGAACCCTATGCCCACCACCCACATCATATCTGATAAAGCTTAGGAATGAGGGCTGAAGCTCGTAGATAGATTTTATCACAACACCCTTCCTCAATTCCTCAATTTTATTAGGTATGAAGTTTGTTCTGGCAACACTGTTCATTTTTGGGAGGATATTTGGGTAGGAGACACACTTTTAAAGGATTTGTTCCCTTCGCTATTTTCTGTTTCTTTGTACAAAAAAGAGGTGGTCTCAAAATTTGTCTCACCTTTGGGAACACCCTTAGATCCTAC